AGAACTCTGATACTTCACTGTTCCATTAGCCTCCTGGGACCATGACCAGGTAGTTTAACTCTTGTTCCAGAAGCTAGGTTGTACCTCAAGCCAAAAAATCACTGCTCATGATAATTTCCATACCAAATTAGGCCCATCTAGGTTGTCCAATAAAACTCACTAGAGATTAAGCTGTGAACCCAATATGGTGGACCTCTTTCCCTTGCCAAATATCTGAGGAAAAAATAAAGAGCAAATATTAAATTCCCCTGTACTTCCTTGTAAATTAAAGTCCTGAATATCGAAGTTCATAATTCTTAAGCAAAATAAAAAAAAAAAAAAAAAAAAAAAAAAAAAAGCAGTTAAGGATTCAGTTTCTTTCCTTCCTAATTTTGTCTTCTGCTCAGCCTTAGCCAGAGGGATCTCAATTGATTGTCTAGGTAGAGTTTGTTTGTTTGTTTGTTTGTTTTCCCCTTCAAATAAAGTGTCCTGGACTCATCAGCATTTTCAAAGTTGCATTAATGCATCCTGAAGTCCCTATATCCTACTTTTTTCCAAATAATTCAGAGAATTATTAGGACACAAGCAATTATCCTGTATCAATGTAACACTCATAAATTTAAAAAGATACAAGAAAGTCCCCAGCTCCAAGATTAATTTATCTCAAGCAACATTATGTCCCTTGACCTTCGGACTCCATAATGCATGTTACTCCTACCAAAAACCATAGAGACTTAGGGCATGTCTGAGGCAAGGAGGGTAGATAAGGAAAATCTTCAGCTAAAACAGGATTCTGGTGAGTTTGGGGCAGCTATCCACATTGGACATAGCTTGTTACCATTAAATGGTTAATAATTAGGGGAAATGGTGAACCTCAGGTTGGGTGGAGGAGCCTGTTTGCACCTACTATCTTTGTTCTCAGAGAGTGGTATTTGAAACACACCTGTCTTTTTGCAAAGTCTAGGGATTTGCAGTGGTGACCTTCTCATGCCCAGGTGTCATTTTAGCTGCTCTACTTTCTTAAGTGCTTGTTTAAAGCCTCTTTGACCTTTTTCTTTTCTTTTTTTCAGCCCCTGTGTCCAGGCCTATGAAACCCATCTCTTCAGAAGGTGACCCTTCTGGGGCCTGTGTGACTTGGGGCCTAGAGAGGATCATCCCTTATGCAGTGCTGCTCTTCCTCAGAACCTAGCCTGCCCTCATGTTTGAACTTTCCAATTCTTGAATAACTTTTCCTACTCATGGCAACAAAAATATTTTCTTTAGCCACAACTTTTTCTGCAGTAGGAAGGCTCAGCTGTTTTGTTTTTATTTGGCATTTTAACCAGTTTCTTCAAGTATTCCCTTCTTTCTCTATTATGATTTATGGATCTCAGAGTTTTTTTGTTTCTGTTTTGTTTTTATTTGGCATTTTAACCAGTTTCTTCAAGTATTCCCTTCTTTCTCTATTACTATTTATGGATCTCAGAGTTTTTTAGTTTGTTTGCTTCTGTTTCACCTATGCTTTCAGAGCTAGACATTTGTTTCTCTAATATTGCCTTCTATGTTCTGTATTGTGTGGTCTCCCTCAGTGAGAGATGTAAAATCAAGGAGTTCTGAATCTACCAAGAGTATTCTTTGTTTAAAACAAATCTTTTAATTTTCATGACCTTGAGTTGGATGATTCTCACCAAGGGGTCCTTTCCCATCATGGCACATCCATGTTTGGACTTATCTGCTATTGTCTCGCCTGAATACCCTTCTATTTGTCTCATCATTTTTTTGAACCCTTCATCTCAAAGTTTCTCGACATGTTCACTCAGGAACCAGGCAATATTGGCAACTCCATCTACAACAGCTGACACCCTAAAACTCACCAGGTAATGCTTCAGATATCTTACCCTGATCTTTCCAGATTTTAATTCCTAAATCTGCTCATATTTTACATAACCACTTTGAATAGCTGCTGCAGACTTCAAGGGAAGGCCCCCAATTAATCTCATAAATGACAATCTGCAGATTTATAATGTGCTCCTCAGTTGTTTCCTGGATCCTTCCTGTCTCGCTGTTTATCGGGAGAGTCAAACTGCTCTGTTCTCTGTCTCTGTCTTTTCTGATCACTCGTTCTGATCAACAATGACTAAAATTACCTCCCTTATATATAACCCTATCTTGGAAAGCACTTAGATTCATTTCCCTTTTGTGTAAATCCACTTTGGTCTTTAAGACCTCATATTTCCTCTTAAGTAGATTTTCCTCTTCCTGAATTCATTAATACTTCTCCAATTAGCTCTCTGCAGGTAACAGAGCTAAAACCACTTCCTGAATTATGATCCTTTTATTTAAAATGTGCCAAAATTTCTCCCTGTCTCAAGTCCTTGCACTTCTCTACCAATTTAATTCATTAGAATAAGACTTCCAGATACACTCTTTATTTAGTAAATTTTAGGCCTTTGCCATTACGATGATCTCATTCAATTTTCCTTCCACTTCTGTCCAAGTGGAAGCTGTATTTCCAAAGTAGTAGGTGACCATTCTACTTTTACTATTCATTAATAAAATCATCCCTCTATGCTGAGCCACAGCTTGGATTCTGAAAACCAAAAGTCATGAACACAGTATATATGATTAATGAATCTACAGAGTCCATTGTTATGGGAGATGGTCTTCAGAGTCTCTGGACAAGTCACATAGAGCCTAAAGGATAGGCCACCTACCTAAGTTCTCTCTTAGGAGCTTGATGTGGTTCCAAACAAAATAGCAAGACACAGCATCTGGCACAGCTGATCTATTACTAGTTATGTTAGTTCTTATATCCAGAATTTAAAACGGAAAGCTAAACCCCTACGCACTAATGCTTTATAGCAGAAGGATTTACTGCGTCTGCAGTTTAACGTCTGGGTCTGCAGTTCTGCTTGAGAAACACACTACACACACCAGTGCCTCAGCAAATTACACATTAAGAGAAGAAAAGACTGTCTTCCTGATAATGTCATTACTGTTGGGGTCAAGCTGTGCTAGGGTGATGAGGTGGACATTACCCACAGAGACCCCAGCAACCTACTCCACGGGCCTGGACAGGATTGTAGCTACTGTGAACAACCAGTCTCAAAGGCCCACATGGACAGAATGTATTAAGGCTAAGGCCTACCCCTGCCTAGACTGTCCTAGAACACTTGGTATTCCCATGTGCTGTTTTTTTTCTCCAGATGTCCACACAATGACTATCTCTTTAGATTTCTCAGTCAACCATCCAATTAATAATGCCACCATCTTCCCCTCTAGACTTTCTTGAATGGACTGAAAGATCTTGGGTGAGAGTTTGGATCTTTGGAGCACAATGTATCAACATATGTCAGGCAGAGTAAAAAAAATAGAAAATGAAAGGGCTGAGATGTACATGTCCAGTCCCCTATTCCAAATACAACCCTCAAATAAGTCACTCCTTTTTCCTTAGGGAGGAGTGGGAGAGGGTATGAAGAAACAGGCAGGAGGTGTTCTTCAAATACTTTCAAAGGGATGGAGAGTCCTATTTCATGATAAAGTAGGAAATCAAAAAGGAGAAAAAGTTGTTCATTCTACATTTTTGATGATGATGATGTTTCAAGAATGCTTGAAAAATTCTATAAAATATGGTGAAAATCACATTTGTAGGAAGTTGGGAAAGTTCTTAGGGAGAATATTTTCTAATTGGGAGTTGTTCCAATGGGAAAGCCTCTTGAATAGACTGTCCCTTCAAGACTACAAAAATTTATCAGAAGATGTGAAACTACAATTTTCCAATCCCTGGTGATCTCAGATATTATCAGTCAACAGTTAACACGGGCTCTCCACCAATCTCTATGCAAAGGGAGTGGAAATCTGGGAAGAAGATACCAGGGATGTTGGTGAGAGTCTCTCATTTATTTTGGGCCCCAGAAATGACCCATTCACAATGAACATATCATTTAATTACAGAGGAAACCTCAAATCCTCCTTATAGTTGAAGGATAAACATAGTCTGATGCTGATACCCAATGGAGCTACTCCATTAGGTTTTAGGGAGTTGATTGTGGGATTGAGAATGAATTTTAGATATGTCTGTTTCACTTTAAGCAGTGGTTCTCAAGTAGGGTGGTGGTGAATGAGGTGGTGGCTATTTTTTGGCAATGATAGGATAGTTAGATTGTCACAACCAGAGGTGGCACTACTGGTATCTAATGGGCAAAAGCCAGGGCTGCTGCTGAACATCCTTCAGTGCACAGCCCCCTACAATAAAGAATTGTCTGGCCTCAGGAGTGCCAAAGTCGAGAAACCCTGAAGTAGAGTGTGAAGGAGCAAGGAGGATAGGGAAGTACCAATATCGTAAGATTTGGTTCAATTTAACATTTATTGAACACCTGCTCTGTTCCAGGCACTGTGCTAGGCACTAGGGACTAAAAAGATGATCAAAGCAGGATCCCTTAATGATCTTATTGCCTGGCTAGAGAAAGAGGCACAAAAACCCTGTAATAATCTTTGATAAGACCTATTTTGTACTCTCTACAAGCTCTGAAATCCTCCCTATATTTAGCATCTCTTGAAAAAAAGAGGACTTTGGATTCTTCATATAATTTTCTTAGAAACGTATATAGCTGCCAGCCTTAAAAAAGATTGGGATGATGATAATCTTTTTTCCAGGGGAAAAGTATGATAAATGTACATGCTGAGATCTTATTTTTTCTGAGATCATAAGGGATGTTATCCTCCTTCTTTCTGAGTATAGGGCTTTGTGCTATTTCATTAAAACTGAAAGAGTTCGTTCTCCTGAAAGTTTAGGAACCATACACATGTTTACAGACAAAGGGCCAGAAGGCCAGCTGTTACTGCAGCATTATTATGGCTACTTGATAAAGCCAATTGGTATAGAGAAAATGAAGGAATGGGAGAAACAGCAGAAAATACCAAACTCAATGTTCTCCTCTTCAGGTAATAAATCCCTAGACCAATGTTAACATGTTATTTAGAGTCATATGCAAATGAAATAGAATATTAAGCTCTTTCCCATGTTTGCTTACTCAGCTGGACAGACTCGAGGAAAAACAGAAAGAAACCTACCGGCGCATGCTGGAGCAGCTGCTGCTAGCAGAGAAGTGTCACAGGCGCACCGTGTATGAGTTAGAGAACGAGAAGCATAAACACACTGACTACATGAACAAGAGCGATGACTTCACCAACCTGCTGGAACAGGAGCGGGAGAGGTAATGTGCACACATGCCAGCAGCCACGTCTGGGTGCCTGCAGACTCTACAGGTCTGTCCCTCCCATCAGGGATCAGACTTCAGTACACTGGGACCACAGACAGGCATCTAGGATCTAATTCCAGTTTCTGAATGGTTTGTTACCAGACTGTGAAACAAACTTTTACCATATTACATAAATATGTTTGGGGGTGCATATAAATAGGGTACCACATTCCCAGAGTGATGTTAAGAGCCATAAAGCTGGAAAGAAACCCAGGGAGCTTACATTTGAACTTGATCAATGAAGTACCTACATTTGAAAAGCCTCTCCACTAATTGCCTTCTATTCGAAATCTACTTTTTCTCTTTTGGGTTGAAATCCATTTTTTCAGGAAGGCAAATTCTTAAACGTAACCATTATAAATGAATCCTACTCATTCTTTTTATTTTTTATTTTTGGTGGCTGGCTGGTACAGGGATCAAATCCTTGACCTTGGTGTTATCACACTCTAACCAATTGAGCTAACCAGCCAGCCCCAAATCCTGTTCATTCTTTTTTTAAAAAATTTTTTTTATAGCATATTCATTGTTACAAATCATACTTATTCTTTATGCCCCTTATCCAATCTCTGCCCTTCCCCCTCCCCCTCCCCTTTCCCCTTTCCACTCCCCCTACCTCTTCTAATATCTATAGATTTGTTCTCTACGTCTGATAGATTAACTGTTCCTCTGTTGGTTTGTTGCCTAGATGGTCTGTCCAGTGCTGAGACAGGTGTGATCAAGTCCTCCCCTATTATCGTAAATCAGATGCTTCTTCTATTATTCTGGAGTGTGCTTTGTACAGAGAGAGGATCTCTTTTTTTTTGGTCTCCGCTGGTGCCTCTCTTTGTGTCAATGCCATGAGAGTCTGATGTGCCATCTGCCTGGTGGCTGTGACTTCTGCTAACTGCTTTTGTGGCAGCCATGGCAATTGTGGTGGCTATGGTGGGCTACCCATGTGAAAATGGTGTTTTTGGTGTGCTCTTTACCTGGTTCGGGCTGGTTCGGCTTCCCCCAGCTCGATGCCTCATTCTAAGACATTGTTGCAGAGCAGTTGGGCCAGAGAAGGAGAAGGGAAAGGGGAGGGAAAATAGGGTGGGAAGAGGAGGAAGGAAGGGGAGCTGATGGAGGCCCGTGGCCTCACCTCATTCCTGCAGGAGAAACCAGGGAGCTTCCAGTGGTGGCTGGGTTGTCACTGGGCTGGATGCAGATGTCGGGTGTGTGTGTGTGTGTGTGTGCGTGTGTGGCTGAAGCCCATGGGACTGGCCATGCACCAGTCCCTTGAGATGACTCACTGGCCTCTGAGTTGTTCTTTTTCTCTGTTGTCTGTGACTCCTCGCTTCTATTTGGGAACCCTGTTAGTGATCCTGCTGGCCTGGGCGCCAAGGTCCTCCTCTCCCTGCCACCTCCAGGCAACTTCATAGGAAGGGCACAGCTGTGGCTTTTGCCAGCTCTTGCTGCCTCTGCTCACCAGCTCCAGCCTTGAAGTGGCTGGGGCTGGAAATGGTGGGAGTGGTCCTCCTCTCCCTGCCACCTCCAGGCAACTTCATAGGAAGGGCACAGCTGTGGCTTTTGCCAGCTCTTGCTGCCTCTGCTCACCAGCTCCAGCCTTGAAGTGGCTGGGGCTGGAAATGGTGGGAGTGGTCCTCCTCTCCCTGCCACCTCCAGGCAACTTCATAGGAAGGGCACAGCTGTGGCTTTTGCCAGCTCTTGCTGCCTCTGCTCACCAGCTCCAGCCTTGAAGTGGCTGGGGCTGGAAATGGTGGGAGTGGTCCTTTCTTTCTCTCATCATGGCTTCTCCTGACTTCATGAACTCCGGAAGTCTCTCCTCCTCTTCCCCTGAGCTCTAGTGGCCCCAGGTTGGCTGTTGTTGCTTTTTAATAGTTGTAAATTTGTTGATTTGTGGGAGAGAATGACGCTGGGGACTGTCTATTCCGCAATCTTGACTGGAAGCCCCAAATCCTATTCATTTTTAATACCAACTATTAAATTTTCCTGTAGGTATTCAGTTTTCTCAGGCCAGGGATTGCCATATTTGAAGCAGAGATACCAAATTGAAAAGCTGTGTAATCAACTCTTCTAACTGAAAACCATCCAGTTTTTCTCAGCATCTTTTAAATTATTCTCTCCCTTTCCTTCCCTCAGCTGAATCTCTACGTCTGTGAATTTCACAGTCATTGAAACCAACAACATTCTTTTAGTTACTAAATGTGTCTGCTTCTGTGTTTAGGACTTGCAAATTGGGAGCCACTGGGGAACAGCTTTATTATCTATTTAGTTACAAAAAAGAGATCTGGTTTTCCCAGATTAGTTTACGTACTAGAAAAGGCTATCACAATAAGAGAGTAAATAAAAGCATGAAGCAGAATAGGTTGTGTTAAATATTTTTTTTAATTGGTAATGTTTACTTATTATTGGACTTGGCACATCCTTGGGGAAGGAGAAATGGCAAAGAGAATAATAGCTGAAGGGTTACATAGTATATTCCAAAACTTATAATTTCTTATGCTTGTCTTAAACTCCTGTAAGCTAAGGCTTATCAGCTTCCTGTTGAAACAAATAGATGATCTGATTTGACATTTTTGGGCAACCAGTGAGAATAAACCGCACCTCCTCAGTCCAGGAGAACTTTCCAACCTTAATCTACAGATATTGCAAACAGGGTTCTAAGGACAGTGTAAATTACATATATCTACAACTATCATCTGCTTAGACATTCTGTGTTGGAGTGTGATCAGGTAAAAAAGTAGCAACTTGTTTCTTATAGACGTTTAAAAATATCTGAAATCAGATAATTTTAAAAAGCCCCTGTGTGAATTGTTTTTGATAACTTTGTAAATTATTTGGTTGAGAACCAGATGTTTGTCTTTTCTATAATTTCCCACCTAAGCCAAGTGCCTGAGGTGGCACAAGTTCACTTACAGGGTTGTTGGTTTAATTGAGGCCTGAGGATGGAGGGATCGTACTTATCCAGGCTGTTTCTTTTTCTTTCTTTTTTGTTTTCCTAATTTTTGTATACTGTGAGAGGAATTGAAATAACACATGATGAAGGGCTTTATAGTTCACAGAGTACTTTCATATTCATTGCACATGAGCCCACCCGCCACAGATGTGTTTATTTGCTAACATCAGATGGTCGACTCTAGATGAACAATTCCAATCCTCTTCCTCTTTTGGAGTCATTTAATTTTATTAAAACAACTACAACCACCGCCTCTTCTGAGCAAAGCACCATGTAGAAAGTTTTAAAATTCAAAGAAAAAAAAATTAATAATTGTTTTAACGTGCTTTTGATACTTTGGCACCACTGGGATATGTCACCGAACTTTCATGTTTTAGATAAGAATCCACTAAGACCTTTGGGTCTTAACGTCCAAACCACTTTACGGTTTTAAAATACTATTTTTGATGGAATGGGTTATACTTTAGTGTTTGTTTTGTTTTTTGCTGTCAATATTTTTTCTCAGCTGACTGAGCACCAGGGCACACTCGGAGAGATAACATTATTCTAAATTAAAATCCACACTAGGACCCTGATAACTGAAGTGGAGTCTCTGAATTTCACTGCTTTTTGAGGCGTCCACGGTGACTGGGTCGCCGAGTTCCCGGGCAGTGAATCCTTTAGGATTTTCTCGGAGGTCATGCCTGGGATTCCTGCTGCCCTTTGGAAACTGCGCTGCTAAATCTGCTTTGGGTTAAATCCTCTGTTTGAAGTAAGCGGTCATAATTAGATCTACTTATGGGAGCTGGGGGGATGCTGACCCTGAAGCTTTCTTTCCTGTGGGCCAAGTCGTTAGGGAGCCCCTCCCCAGCTCGGACCACGGACCGTGTCCCGGGCGCTGCACCCCTCCTGGCTCCGCTGGGCCCGCGCGCTGCGCTCCGGGCGGCTCTCGCCGGGCTCGCGCGACTCGGCCGCTGCACCCGCAGGGGAAGCTGGGCTGCAGCTCATAAAGAACCGGCATTTCTGAACCGGCACAAGTAGTCGCCCTCGTGTAGACTGTTCCAAGTCCTTTGCTTCTTTGTTTTGCACTGCCTTCCCCTTCTCCCGAAAAGTCCCTTTCGTGATCAAGAAACAGAGCCAAGAACTTTCCTTGCGAAACATTTCCCGTTGTTTCAACTTTGAGAATGAGTAAAGTTAGTGACGCTTGAGATAGCCTAAGTGGTTTTCTCCTTATAATCACTCACTCAGTTTCTCCAGCTGGGTGTGCGAAGCTGCAGGTTGTCTCCACCCCAGACAGCTTTTTGATTCAGTGGTGGAGGGATAATGTGGGAGGCGGAGCAGAGCGGAGGACTCTCCTGACACCAGGAGAACCTAAGCTCTGTTCTCCATACTTGTCCACTCTAGTAAGGGTTTCTCACTTCTTCCAGAAACAAATGGTTAAAGACAATAAAAAGGTACCTTTTTACACAGCATTAGTGGTAGGTGTTGATAAGCAATCCAGATTCAGATATTTGATGAAACCAGGAATCCGAACCTTTGTGCATTGCAAAAGACTCCCGAAATCAACCCTTTCAAGTCCCGCATTCTACAGGTGGAGACACTGAGGCTCAGAACAATTATGTAGCTCAACCAAGATCAAACAGTGCAGGCCACCGTCTAGCAATTTTGTGCAAATGAGTACCCTGTGCTAAATTATGTTTTATGTTTTCTTTTTGTGTCTGTAGGCTCCCCACTGCTATGCTCTTATGTACAAACTATGATGCAGAACCTTACAAGGCAGAATGATGGTTATTGTGAAAATACAGGCACAATACAGATTTTAGAAGCAGTGGTGTCTCTAGACTATCAAGGTAGAAGCTTCGGGACAGCAGTCTGTTGGAAGGAGCAGCCTGGGGACTTATTTTGAAGCTTAGTTTGAATAGCATACAAAATGTTTCACCTAGGTTGTATTCTATTTGGAGTGGTTATGATGGGTAGCTGATGATGTTTATGGGGGAGCTAAATAAAACCTCCCTCCAACTACCCCCTGGTTATTGCT